GTTATTTACATGAAATACAATGATGGAACATGCCACAGCCTTTGTTTCGGTCATCCATAGATCACCTTTACTGAACTTAAGAGCTTCTGAACAATGACTTTTGACGTTTGGATGTCGCGGTTGTAGCCTGTCAATTTGGTTTTTGCCTCCACGCTATCGGATTGAAGACGGCAAAAAATTTCTTTAATTTCAAAAATTTCTAACATCTCTTAATTATTCTTATGTTCTAACTTATATTTGGCGGCTTAACCGCCCTACAAGAGCCCTCTCTTTTTTTGTGGTGACTGGTCAGCGATGCTTTCACGGTGGAGTTATCAACACAAAACATGTTTAATGTAGTTTTATGAAGGTATTTTCTGTATTGGCACGTTAACGTAAGTCTTATTCTTAACTTTTATAACAGCAATTGTCGTAACCATCGTATTTATTCCTAATTTTAAGTGTCCTGATGAGGATGGAATATATAAATTCCGAAAGCTTGCAAATTAACAAAGTGTATTAGTTCTTTGTCAAACCCTTCCAACTGCAACCCCACTAAATCCCAGATATATATATATATTTTTTTTCTCACTAGTCAGTCGAAGTACAACTGGTTCTTGTCTTATATATATTAGTAAGTACTATAATTTTTACAAAATCTGTCTCCATTCCTTGTTCTTAAATTCGGTTCCACAATCGGTGGTTATTTTCCATGGTAAACCGTGATGAGTTATGAAAGTGTATAGATTTTCGATTATCGTAGGACCCGTTAAAGCATTTAAATGATATGCTTGTCCATATCTAGAAAAAGCATCTGTAATTGTTAAAAAGCTCTCATTTGCTATTTTAAATGTATCAATATAGATTTGTTCGAAAGGTTTCGATGTTGTAGGTGTTAAATTAAATTTTACGATGGGTGGACTTCTTAAACGATCGTACTTATTTTTCTGACCAGTCTCACAATTGTTTACGTAGTTTTCGATATCTTCGCTCATTTTTGGCCAGTAAAATTTTGATGTTAAGGCGTTTTTCATTTCATTGATACCGCGATGACAAGTTTTTGTCGTGTGGTACATTTCAAGTTTTTCTTTTTGTTCGTTTAATGTTTCGATATCGTTTAGAAGTTTAGTACACTGAATAAAATTAAATGCAGTATTTTTAAATAATTTTTGTAAGGTAATGATAAAATTTCTAGCTATTAATTGATCTTTAAAATACATAGCATAAGTTTGTTTGGGGTCAATAAATTCTTTGAGGAATTTTACAAAAGTTTTCCGTTGATCGACGTTGTGATATAGTTAGGTATATTCGAGTATTTTTAAATATTTGTTCGTGTCTACATTTTATATTATCGATTTCTCCGTAGGTGAATATTACTTGATTTTTATAGGTGTTTAATGAACGTTCTGAAATAGGGAGACCTATTATTGATTCTTCTAGAGAAGTATGACGTGTTTCTAGATCAGTTAATTCTTTTTTCTTTATAGGATTTGGTCTTATTTGTATGTCTGAGTGGATAATTATTTTTGGTTTAGGTTTTATTCCTAACATTTCTTCTAATTCTTTTTCTTCTATTTCAGGTAAACTTTCTCTATTTTTTTTTAATTCTTCGATTACGTCGTCAATATCTCCTGGGTTATTATCGATTGATTCTGTCTCTAAGGCGTTTAATTCTTGATTGTTTATTGGTATTCTTGATAGATTTTGAAATTCGATCGGTGCGAAACCGTCTTTTGATGTTGTCAAAATTTGGAGTATAAGTAAAGTATTAAGAGTTCCTGGTCGAGTTATAATTTCTCCTTGAAAAATATTAACTGGAACTTTTTTTATTAGTTTTTCGTGAGGGTTTACGGAAAAAGAAAAATTTATTTCTTCCGGTTGGCAATATTTGAAAGGTATTTCGACAAAATTGTTTATTAATCTTCTATTTGTTAAATCGATATTTAGATTCATATTGATCAAGTCTTTTAAACCTATAACTCCATCGAAATAATCGTGGAAAGCAAATAAAATAAATTTAATTTTATGATTATTTCCAAATTCCGGGAATGAGAGGTTAGCTTGATATTTTGTTGATTTTTGACCAATAGCTGTTTTAATTATATTGGTTGTTTGATATATACAGTTCGGGAAAAGGTTTTCTACGATAGATAGTTTTAAAATAGAGCGCAAGCTTCAGGTATCGATTAATAATTTTAACTTAGGATTTTTTATTTCTACATACGGAAGAGCGTTACTAGAAGAGATGTTTATTTCTATCATGTTTTTCCTTCTTTCTGGCTGGGGTTCCGAAAATTTCCTCTTGTGCAGGATTTTTGTTCCTCAGCAGCTTTCTCGTATTCGGGTTCCTGTTGAAATTCTTCTTCCAAACTATGAACAGGGTATTCTCCAGAATATTGGTTTTCGTATTCGTCATAATTATTATAATCGGTATAATTATAGTTTTCTTCATAGGGATGCGTATTTGTTGTGTCTTGGTACGCATAATTATTCAAATCTTCGTTGTATTCATTAGTGAATAATTCTTGAAAGGTAAAATCTGGTGGTCCAGTTGACTGGAAAGGTATTGGATATTGTCTATTCTGATATGATTGGATTTGACTATCCCTTTTCTTCAAAGCATGGGTTTGCTGAAGTTGTAGACATAGGCTTTGGTTTTGATTGTTGGTGTGGTGGAATAGGCTTTGGCTTGAATACATTTACAGGTGGTCCAAAGACTTCTCTATTTGTAGGATATCGTCTTGGAGGCATTTCTCTTGGAGTAATATTAATTGGTTGACAAGGCCAAGGTTGTTTTTGGTTAAAATTTGTATTAGGTACATTGTGATTGAATTGATTGTATTGATTTGGGTGATTAAATTGATTTTGATTGTTAAATTGTTGTCTGTTATTATTTTTATAGTTAGAATTGTTGTGTGGAAAATTTGTCGCGTTAGAAAAATTATTTTGATTTTGAAAATTCTGTGATGGTGTTGGTTTTTGATGGAAATTTTGTGTTTTGTACGCCTTGTTTTGTTCGTTAGAACTGCCGTAGAGCATCTCAAAATTTTCAAAATCATTTACGCACGCCATTGCAACTCATCAAGATGTCGGTTTTTTAATGTAAAGATTGTTTCTTAAAGTTCCGCTGCAACCCGCAATAAATGTATTTAACGCGGTCTTATCATAGAGGCTTATCTGACACGTTTTCTCTAGAGGCGCTAGGCACGTATCGTTACTGATTCTTTGAATTACGTTGCTCTTTAAGAGTTGTAATCTGCTGTCAAAACTTAAGAGATGTTCATTTTTAAACGGTCGCGTTCTCGTCAATTCTTGGATTAAGCAATCCAAATCACGTCTATCTGAGAAACATTGTATTAAATTTTGCGGCTTTTAATTTTGACCAATGGTCTAATTCCAATCTGTTTCCTATCATTATTACGGCTTTTCCAACTAGTTTGGACTGTACGCACTCAAAAACATGCTGTCTAAAATCCTCGTCTGGTACGGTCGCATATTTTAGTAAAAGTGATTCGCATTTAAATATAAAAGTATTTAATGTATTACTGTTTCCGTCAAATGGCTTAATATTTTGTACTTTTGACTTAAAAATATCCCAATTTACAGTTCGCGAGTTTTCTTTCGTAACCGGGACAATTACTTTTTAAAAAACAACACAGAGACTTGATCAGTTTATTAATATGTTTGGTTGAACAGTACTAACAAAAAGATGAGAAAATATAAATGTAACTTATATTTATAAGCTTCTACTGCTGAGGTAGCAGTGACGTCAAAGGCGGGTGACGTACCCAGCTACGTGGATATAATTCGCGTATTTTCGTTTTCAGAAGCACTTGTTCTCGCATTCATTTTGTTAATTTCGGTATTAAGTTTTACTGTTAAATTTGATAGTCTGTCCACTAACTCGTCTACACTCATGAACGTGCTAGTTTTTCATCTACGATCTATGAGCGTAAATTTTATTTTTATTTTATTTTTATTTTTTCTTATTTCTACTTAATAAAAATGTTTTAAGTACTAGGTAACTTTTTCTTTATTATTTTAATTGGAAGATTTTTTGTTTGGTTTTTCTTAATCTAATGTCTGCAATAGACTGCTCCTATAACTATCCCTACTGATTTCCTTAAACAGAGGTATACCAAAAGGGGCAAAAAGGAAGGCACTTACTTTTTTGAAGTCTTTCCTGTCCTTTTCCTGGACTCTAATTCGGATCGATTGCACTATCCTGTCCGTCACTTCACAAAGTTTTTGTTAGATTTTCGCGTTAAAGGGGTTAAAACCGCCACTTCCCGATCTACCACTGCATATGACACTCGAAAGAGAATACACGAAATCCTACCGACTGTGTCAGTTTTAGGTTCTGAATTAACAGAGTTGTTTTTAAAAAACGATTTTATTGTTACAAACGCTCTCGACAGAGTACAGAGAGTGAAAAGTCTGCTTCGAACCGTGCAGTTCGCTTTTATATGTGACATAGTGTAAAATAGGCATTCAGTATTTAATTACAATAAAATAACACTTATTTATACATATAACTCATCAGACTATCCTCCTAATAATGTGTATAATATACCACAAAAAAAACAAAAAAATATTAGGTCTTATGAAAGATGAAAATAATGGGAAAATAATGACCGAATTTATTGGTTTACGATCTAAACTGTACACTTTTAGAACTCAAGCACATAGTTGTGAAAATTTAAATGTTAGTAAAAAAGATAAGGGTATAAAGTCATCTTCACTTAAAGCTATAACTTTTGACGATTTTTATCAATGTCTTTTTAATAATTCCACTCTTGAAACTGAACAACATTTAATTCAATCAAAAAAACATCAAGTGTATACTATAGCCCAAAGAAAAATAGCTCTATCTCCGAATGATGATAAAAGAATTATTAATTATTTGCATACAGATACAAAACCATGGGGTTGGGAACTAAGGGGAAACATTTAGAAAATCTTTAGATTTTATTTATTTGTTATAAAACCTCCCATTTTTTGAAAACATAGTCAAATGATGATGAAATATTGATGATGGAAAAGAGAAAATGCTTGAAATATGTAAAAGCAATTCCAGGAGCCTTTACTCCTACCAAAGGATCTCCTAGAGCTGCAGGATTTGATTTAAGGAGTGTCTACAGTATAACCGTACCTGCAAGGGATAAGGCGCTCATAAATACAGGTCTGAAATTTGAATTGCCTTCAGGATGCTATAGAAGAATAGCACCTAGATCAGGACTAGCTTCAAAAAACGGTATCAATGTTGGAGGTAGAATTTTATTTTTATAATTATTAATATGATAACTATTCATTTTAATTTTCTTCTAGCTGGTGTTATCGATCAAGATTATAGGGGAATTGTGATGGTTCTACTCTTCAACCATTCGAATGAAGACTTTCAAGTAAACTTTGAAGATCGTATAGCTCAATTAATTTGTGAACGTATACACTATCCTGAATTGGTTGAGGAAAAAGAACTTACCCATACCGAACGCAACACCAATGGTTTTGGATCAACAGGGCGATGATAAAAACCTAGCTCTAAGTGTTTTTTTTATATAACTTGCCTATAAATATTATTGTAATGAATATATTTATTAAGTATATTAAGCCTATTAAAAAAATAGAAGCATTTATACTAGAGAAATCTTCTCAAATCGTTGTATAAAATGTAAAGATTATATTATTTTACTTTAGTATCCATAATAGTTAAGACAAATAGAGAGCATGAAAAATTTTATTAATAAAAAAATTATAGCGTCTTCCGCAAGAAGTATCAGATGAGATTCGTAAATGGCGTGAATTTAAAAGATGTCCAGCATTCAATTACGAGTGTGGTAGATTGTTGTCAGCATTTGACAATCCTGGGAAATTAACATGCGCCGATTTGAAAAGGCTTACCGACAAATCTGATGTACTTGAATATGTGAAAACTGCAGTAAAACGGGACATTGATAATCGTCAAGCTGCACATTTACGTAACATACCTGGACATTTTTAATTTATGATTATAAATATATCAGTTTGTAATATTTAGCATATGTAAAAAATAAACTGTTTTAAAAGATTTGTCTATGTGTGTTTTTCTGTTAATATCTCCAGTCTAGACTAGGTTAGTTAATACAACATTTAGTTTTAAGTAAACCATATAAAATTAGTACTCTTATTGATAACCTTTAACCTATTATGCATCATCACATGCAATAACAACGTAATATTCTTATTGATAACCTTTAATCTTTTAAACGTTATCACACACAACAACAACATGGCATTTTCCAAAATTTTAAGCAAATTTCTCGTCTATAGCACCCCAACCTATGTAACTCTTATAACATGGCATATATGCAAACTCCCTAAATCTACTAATTTAGATCTGGCAAAGCAGCATTTGCAGTACCCTCCTGCTTACCCTTAAAAACCTACCCTCACCCACCCCCAACAATTACATTAAGGCCCTTTTCAACAGCCTCTGGTAAATTTACAAGAACTACACACAAGAATTATTTATTTAGAAATAACCTTCAAATTAATCAAGGTCAATACTTCTTCGGCTCATGGATCGATGCTGATGGAAAACATACCATCGAGCAAAAAGTGGTCCAGTATCCCGCTAGCTATACTACTCCCACCTTCAGCACAAAAGGGGACCATACTGAAAGCGGTTAATAAAACCAAACAAAAAAACTTTCATAAAACTATATTACCTTGGGACACTGATTTTAAAACTGCCGCTGAGATACTTTTAAAACCAGTTTAAATACAATTTAAAACCACGCAATTTTTAATTGGTTTTAAAAAGTTTGGTTAAATGTATACTTTTAAGGATAATTTATCTTATAGTTAACCAACTTTAAATAAAAAAATGTTTTCTTAAAACTATTTGATCACTTTGCTAGGAAATATTAAATTATTTTAACATATTTATCCTGTAAGCGGCCATCAAACTATAAAAATAATAAAAAGCGGATATAAAGTAGATGGTTATATTTCGGATTTTCAGATCAAATTTCTTGCGCACCAAATTTTATCGATAAATGTTAACAGAAAAATGTTAAAAAACTAACGCGCCTCAAAATTTCTGGAGTTTTTTATTTAAAAAAAATAAATATAAAAAAATAATGTAAGAGATATTTTGTATTTCAAAGAAATATAATTTTATCCACTCTACTAGATTGTTTTTGGTTAAAATAAACTGAAATAAACTAATTTGTCATTTTTATGTAAGCTTATAATATTTTATACTTCTTGGCTTCCGCCGTTTGGAGACAGCAAAATGGTGGAAATTAAATAAAACCATATAGCAATCTAAAAGGAACCGTTAAGATTAAAAGGTTTTATTACAAAATAATTGCACTTAATTTATACCATTTTAAAAGAACATAGCTTTCAAGGTTCCTTGCTAACAAGCAAGGTGCTCTACGAATTAAAAGCTGTTTGGTTTTAACTTTGAATAAGAAGACTAAGGAAGGAGCATAATGCTATCCATGTATTCATGCATGGTGGGCGGAAAAAGCACTCTAGGGTGGGGATCCTTGACAGTTCTGTTTGACGATTCATTTGACACATTTGAATTTGATTTGAAATTTTGTGGATTTGTCAGTCTTTACGGAGCTTATTTTATGTTATTTATTATTTATTCTACTACTGATAGTTGTATAAAGGTAGTAAATCTAGATGGAAATTGTGGCAGAACTTAAATTAACAGTGACACTATCGCGATTTATCGAAAAAGACTCTAAAATAATTGGTTGTGTAGCGTGCGGTAGATCTCGGCAAAAATTGAGTGAAATAATGGAACAACTTTTCGCTAGTAAGTGACTATATAATATACATACGTGTAGTAAACCGATCATTTATGTAATTCACTTAAATTAACTAAAGTATATATTTTTCTTGCATTTTAGCTTTTATTTATTACTTGTCAAAGATTAGATGTCAAAGAATTTAGATACGTTAATTTGACTTACCAGCCTCAGTAGCGTATCGAATGTTTGTGTTAATAAATACTTATTATAGCTTATCTATTTTTATTAGAATTGTATATTTTTATAACAATTTTAATAACTACCAACATTTATTCACAACGTAAAATAAAACAACAAATTATTGAGTCTACCCCACGTCAACCCTACATCATAGTTTTATATTTTTTAAATAAAATTAGAACGACACTGATAAACCGGAATTTAAGTCGGCCATATTTGAGGCCCATCGCGGTGTACCTAAGATTTTTGATATGTTTCTTCCTTAGTCTTCTTATTCAAAGAGTTTTAAGGTAAGTTTAACCTTAAAATCGAGAAATCATTTTCAGAAAATTACCAGCTCATCAAGTGTGGATGATGGCCGGCACAGCGAAAGAAAGGAAGTATATCCCAATCCATGAGATCTGCCAAATTATTCCCAATGCTCAAAAGAAGAATATCTTGGCGTTCCACGCTGTCACAGGTTGCGACTCAACATCTCATTTTGCAACAATCACAAAGAAGGCAGCGTTGAAAGCATTTAATGGAACGGCCTGCCAGCTTCTTAGCAATCTAGGGCACTCTCCACTGACTTCCTTATCAAAGGCCAATGCAGAGAAATTCCTGGTACAACGTTACAAGGTACGGACTTTTTTAGGGGTTTCGTTAAGTCCAACTTCGATTTATTCATTATTACAATGTTTGTGATTTTCTTCATAGGTGGGCAAAGATGTATCCAGCGGGGATGAAGCCAAACATCAGCTTTTCGGTGTTGTGAAAAGGCCTGAAGCCTTACCTCCAACTAGCGATGCGTTCACCTCCTAAGATGTCATTATCAGGTAAAGACTTAATAAAACCAGTTGCTTTTTGGTACTGAGAATTTATAAATCATTTTAGGTGAACGTGTGGGAAAATGCCCATCATGCCCGACCGATGGTGCTGGATTCTGAGTCATATGGGTGGAGGCTTCGCCAAGAAACGTACATTTCAATTCTTTTGATCCCGTCCCTAAAGCTTGCACGGATATTTTCATCTGTAACTGTGCATCCCAATGCCTGACAACAATGTGCACATGCAAAAAGAACGGGTTGAATTGCACCAAGTTGTGTCACCGTACTAAACAATGTTTGAACCTTGCATAAACATAATATGTTACTGCTTTTCATTTTTTTTGTCATTTTTTTAATATTAAACAATATTTGATCTCTAAAATATTCGTTTTCTAAATTTCGTCGCTTAAATCCCAGCAAAAAAAACCAGCGGCCATCTTGGGCGCCATCTTGAAACCTATGCTTTCCAAACTTAAGGTGAGTAAATTCTAAGAATTGCAATGTGTTTGGTATCCGAAAAAAAAACAAACAGATGTTTAAATCACTATTTTTAGTTAACCGACAATGGAGATATACAAAAATATAGTGTTTGGCCGCCATCTTGGATTCTCTACTTCCAGTTAAAATTTCGGCTTTGGCAACAGGCAGATTCGTATTCAGCGAGGTCTAATTACCATAATAACGTTGTTTTCCCAATTGTTACATAAAATGCTTCCTGCAATGTAGTTTTTTGAAAATGATCTTTACATTGCGGTGCCACTTGACCCCCCTTCCCATTTGAAAAAGTTGGAGGATGACACCTCCGCTTAGAGGGTTGAAGATTTTGCAATAATTTTTGGGGCAAAAGTTGTCCCCCTCACAAACAAAATTGACGTGTTTTCGGATTTTTTGAAAAAAAAAATATCCTGGCCGTCATGCCTTGCGGAACGTTTTCGATGGGCCACCCTGTATACAATAATAACCACTGACATATTTTAGTTTGGTTTAAGTTAGATTTGTTACCTAGATAATTTTAGAAAAACCGGAATTTTTTTAATGGACACGTCGTATTTTTCAAATATCTTTTTTAACCTGTATTACACTAAATTTGTGTTTTGATATATACATATTGGGGCCAGTTCTTCATATGTTTATATAAATTTGAGGAAATAAATCTGTCATACTATTTTTTTAAGAACCACTCCAAATTTTAGTGTTGCGTTTACGCAACAATGGGCGAATACATGAAGTCTCGATTTAATTTTCCTGTCCAGACTTGTCAAACGTCAATCGTTACTCTTATCTATTACCACGAGCGTACGTGAACTAGTATTGTGTGTAAAGCAACATTTTCAAGTGCCAAAATGCCAAAATTTCTCACACAGAAAGAATTAGAGCTAGCTTTAGAAGAAATAGTACAAGATTTGGAATGTGACAATCGTAAGTAGAATATTACTTTTATATGCAAGACATTTTTAGATCATATACTTTTGTTTTTTAGAAATAGATGCTGTGTATATTCTGCCAAATGTAGACGAACTTACAGACGAAGAGAATTTTTCTGATTTTCTTTCTAAAAAACAAAATGCAAATGCCGATATCGCGGGAACTTTTGAAATTCATACCAATGAAACTGTATGATGATTCTGATGAAGAACCCTTGGCTGTTGCAATACCAAACCAATTTGAATCCTGCCTGGCGGTCTGGAAATTTTTTTTTGAAGCAAAAAAGATTTTTTGCTACGGGGACGATCAGAGAGAACCGAACAAATGGTTGTCTCTTAGTGTCACGCAAATTCCTTTGAAAGAAAGACAGAGGCTCATATGACTCACAATTTGAAGTTTCAAACAAAATTGCATTGGTAAAATGGAATGATAATTCAATTGTGACGATGATTAGTACACACTGCAACGTAGAACCTATCAAAAGTGCTAAAAGATATGACAAAAAAAAACAAAAAAAAGAAATAATAATTCCGCAGCTGGCAGTAATCTCGTTATAAAATAAACACATGGGAGGCGCTGATTTGCACGACAATGGGGTCGCCAAATATAGAAAAAGTGTCATGGGAAAAAATGGTGGTGGCCATTATTTGTAAACACTTTGGATAGCACTCTGGTCAATTGTTGGAAGCTTTACAATAAAATAAATGAAGAGAAGATATCACAGCTAGATTTTAAATCATTCATAACAGTACGACTTCTCAAAGCTAGAACTGGAGTTGCAAGGCCGCTTGCAGTGGAACCCCCTATTGAAGTTAGACAAAATCAGGAAACTGGTATGAGCCATATAATTATCAAAACTCAAACAAGGAGAAGATGCCGGGTATGCCATAGCCAAACTATATACCGAGCTGGCAACTGTTACTTTTGAGTCGGCATTTACATGTGTGGAAGTAAACCGCATAGGGATCTTATTAAGTCGAAGTGAGAAAAATGCGACCGACCGACGCGACGCGCGACGTTGTGCTGTTGCGGCGTTGCCGATACGCCTTTCCCTATCAAGTAAAGTAAAATCACGATCGCAAACCGCTTATTTTTAAAAGATTTTTTTTTCAAGAGATAACTAGATAAAATCATTAGACATGTTTCTGAGTATCTGAAATGGAATTATAAGGATATCGTTAGGGTGTCATTTTTTTATAACGAGAAATCGCGATAATTTAAAAACTCAACTTTTTAACACATAACAGGCCATAATTCAAGAACCACTTTAGATATTGAAACTTTTTTTTATTTTCACGATCGGATATTTTACATTATGTTTACATAAGAAAAATTCGATAAGGTTGTTTTTTCCATTCAAAAATTGTAAACAATCCATCCATTTACTTTTAGAGCATAGCAATTTAGAGCAATCGTGTAATTTTTTATTGATAAAGATTTTCACATACTGTCTACAAAGAAAATTCAGCAGAAATATTAATAAAGTTCTTGAAAAAACTACAACCTATTATTTCTAATAGATTTCGAGATATCGATTTTTGAATACATAGTTTTTTTTTTAGGTTCAAGTTTCGACGTAGCTGGGCCGTTGCCCGAATACATAGTTCTAATAGCGCGACCACTATCGAACACCCACTCAATTCCACTTATTTTTACCAAAAATACAAGTGTTTCTAGCTTGCACTTAAAAAAATTCAAGCTATAGGGAAAATTACAACGACTCGTTAATAAATAAACAAATTAAGTATCACGAGACGTAATTAAATCGTGAAGCTGAACGCATGACGTACACCTTTCCCTAGAACTTTAAGTACTGACAGAGGTATTGATTGGGTCGACCGGTCAACTGCGACAAATCTGCTATATCCGCTTCCACGTCTCTTAGCGATGTGCACAGTTTCTCGGTTTATTTCATACGTTTGGCAACGTGTTTACTGTCCTCTCTTTGTTCAGTACATTATAAACGCATTGTACTCTTCTTACATACGGAAATCTCGACCCAAGACCAACCTTTGCCAGCCCTTAGTATATGTGTCAATGTTGCAACGTTTTTTTGCATACTACTTGTTTTGCTGCATATCCTTAGGACTTCATGTTTTCGGCCAATGTTAACACCATTTTTTATTATAGCTCTGTATTTTTGTGTTTTTCTATTACAATATATGTTGTTATTAACCATTTTTACGTAATATATTTTTGATTTTTTCAATAGTTTTGCTCTATTTCAATAACCGGCCGAAAATGGATTAATTTTCATCATTATTCTTAATACTTCAGATTGAAACTGAAGTGTTTGTATCTCATTAAACGTTTGTAGGGTTGGCAATAGTGACATTAAAAACGCTGTGTGATCAACTTGGTCATGTTTTTTAGTCTCTTCGAGGAATGCTATTAATTTGTCATCCAATACATAATTCTTCCTTTTTTTCGAAAAGGATTGTACTATTTTTTTCACAGGTATTCTAACATTCTCTCCTTCCTCTTCGGATTCTGAAAACATATATGATTGATGATATCATCAGCAGCTTTTCTGTAGAAAGAAGGTCTTCAGTATCCAAACTGTTCTCAATCCTAAAAACACAATAACAGTGGGTTGCTTTTATGCAAAAATAAGTCTTACGGATTCAAATCCACTGATTGAAAAATTTTATAATAATAATAATAGCTCCCGTATATAGCGTTTGACGCCTTGGGAGTAGCAAGGTACAGCTTGCCATACTAGAGCCGTTCGGTATACAAGGAAGGTAATATGGCTAGCACTACGCTTCAACCGCCTATTATTACCTCAGGATTGTGAATCCCAAGTACTCATTTAAGGCTGAGTCGACCTAGGTACCCAAACTATTTTTATTTTAATAAAAACAGTCGGCTGATGAAATGCCGGGTGTGAGATTCGAACCCACTACCTTGAGATTGGTAGACGAGAGCCTGTGATCTACGCCACCGGGCACCTTTGAAAAATTATAAATTTTCAAAAACAAACGTATTTTTTAATTATTTTTGCGGCATCACCACTTCTACATGTTTTTATTTTAGTTCTATTCTTTACATAGGCATCCCTAGCGGTTTTCCATCTCTTTTGTACGTGTTGCACTGTAAATAAAGGTTTTATTAGAATCGTTGGATGGTCACAACCTGTATGTATGCTGTATTCTGTAGATATACAGCATGTGACCAGTGCTTACTTATTTCTATTTGTATTAGCTAAAGTACGAACCCAAATAATGGCTATGAAGTTTAATATACTTTCTCCCATTTTATGTTTACATTATTTATACTATTTAAAACTTAAGCCTTCAGAAATATTTTAGTTTATATTTTATAAAGTATGTATTTTTCAGATACCTAGCTAGTGGAAATACGTTTATAGACATGCATAACTCCTACAGACTTGGAATTTCAATAATTAGTGGTATTATAAAATCAGTATCCGATGAAATATGGAAAATAATGAAGAGCGAATGTATGCCAGAACCTACAGCAGGGAAATGGAAAGAAATTGCTGCAAACTTTCAGAAATATGCAAATTTTCCAAATTGCATCGGTGCCGTCGATGCCAAACATATAAGA